GGGGAGATTTTATGATGGCTCCCTTATTAATTTTATCCCCTCCTATTTTGTGTGTTTTTACGGTTTTTTACAGTTTTTTATGTTTGTTTTTATGTATTTATTTTTTAATTGTTGTATGCTGCCCAGAGTCCCCTTGTGTGAGATGGATGGCTACATAAATATAAATAAATAAAAATAAATAAATTCAATAAAAAGACTGGCTTCTGCCTCCATAACTTTAGTTTAAATAAGGTTATTTAAATCAATGAAACAGGAAAGTATTCCTTGAAGTGATCTCTTTTGCATTTACTTCTCCACATCATTGCCATCAATCACTGCCTGGACAAGCTTCTTAAAGTTGTCATGAGATAACCCATACTTTGCCTCTTCAACCAGATCCCGATAGTCCCTTCCACCTCTTCATTTGAGTCAAATACCCACAAAGGTTCTCCTTCAAATTTGGGAAAAGGTGGAAGTCACATAGCACCAAACCGTAGCCTGTATGAGGAGTTGGGTAAGACAGTGAGATCCAACTTTTCTATTGTTTCTTGGATGGCTCATGAAGTGCAAGTCATTGTGTTTCATGTTGCAGCAAAATTTCCTTCTAGTGCTTCCAAATTCTGCTTAATCTGTTTTGAGTGTTGCAATGTAGCATTGGGTTGATAGTGGTGCAAGTTTCAAAGAAATCCATGTGAATAACACTATTGGTGTCCCTAAAAAGCCTGGGTTTCGAATATTTTTTCTAAAGGTGAAGCTTTGTAATGATACTTATGGCTCTGACACTTCATTTCTGGATCATAATGATGAGCCCATGTTTTGTCAGCTGTCATAATGCAGTGAAGAAATTTGTCACCTTCATTCTCATAGCATGCAATGATTGCAAGCAAATTTCAACTCTTGAAACTTTCATCTCTGTCATCAGTATGCAAGGAATCCATTTTGCACAAAACTTCCACTATTGAAGAATATCAATAATATGACCCAAGCATTCCTTTGAAATGTCAAGCTTGACAGTAATCTCCCTTTGAATGATCCGCTGATTATCCTTAATCAACTCATCAACTTTTCTCACATGAGTCAGTTGTTGTCACAGGCTGTGCACTTTGTTCTTGATCACATAAATCAGTTCTTCCTGGTTCACCATCTTTACATGTGCCTAGTATGCACAGTACTCATGTCATCGTCACAGTCATCACCATAAACAACTTGCATTCAGTGATGAATTTCAGTTGGAGTCACTCCTTCCCCACTCAAAAATTCAATTCCAGTCTGTTGCTTAAAGGGCACTGATGAGTACTCACTGCAGGCTTCCATTTCACAAACAATAGCAATACAACCTTTTCTCACAGCAACTTCCTGCCAACTGGAGAGAAAGAACAGATGATAAAGAACATGTGAGTTCTTCTAGTGCCTCAGTGGTGCCCTCTCTTGGCTACTTATAACATTGGAAGTATTATTGCTTTTTATTCAACCCTCACACCTCAACATACTTCTTTTGTACCGGTCACTCATCTTTATTAACCCACATTCATTCAGCATCCATTCATTCTTGACTCCATTGCTTCTTCTTTTACCCTGTACACTTCATAAGTAACTCATTCAGTTTGTGTTGTGTGTGTGCACCTTCAAGTTAGTGTTGATTCCTGGTGACTGCCTGGACAAGTCCCTGCAGTTTTCTCGGCAAGGTTTTTTTGGAAGTGGTTTGCCATTGCCCGCTTCCTCAGGCTGAGAGAGAGTGACTGGCCCAAGGTCACCCAGCTGGCTTTGTGCCTAAGGCAGGACTAGAACTCCTTAATGACTGCAGCAAAGTGTCCTCACACCATTCAATTTACTTTTATATTTTTCCTGACATATCCGGCATTTATTCAGTTCCTTATTGCTTGGACCAACAAACTTATCGGAGAATAATATGCGTCAACATCACAAAGAAGAGATTTTATGATTAGACTTAACACTGCTTACTTCAGAGTGATTTATTTTCTTAAAATTTCACAGAAGTGGAGATATTATTTCGATCGATAGCTTCTTAGAAAAGAACGAATAGAATAACTTTTCAGTAACAATCACAGAATCACTTATCTGACAATGTCAGCATATTCACTGGCAGACAAGTATATGGGTTTTCTTTCTTGGAGTGAGTGTATTTGACAGGGAAGCTTAAAGAACTGCAGCCATTAGAGAGCAAAGTTCTTTATTTTCCAGAAGAAAAATGCCAAAGTAACAAGAGGTATATATATGCAGGCTATAATGATTGTAAGTCTAAAATGGATCACTTTCCACTTAAAGGAACAGGTCTGTGAGTTGTGGTTCCTCCTTGACTCATAGCTACTGCTACACAGGCAGATGAAGGCCTGTCAATGTCTTTGATGTTTAGGACCATCTTTAGAAGAAGCAAAATGGTAAAGATCAGAAATGAGCAAATGAAACTATTTATTAAAAGTCATAAGATGTTTGATGGCTAATATTAATCTATAATACTGAATTCTGACTGCTCTCAGGAAGTTATCTAATTTCATCTTCATTTCTGCTAATGGCAAACATTTGCTGTGACTGGTTTACAAATATCTCAAACAAGCATTGTGGCACCAATTCTCCTGAATTTGTTACTAAGTCAAAATGTCAGTTACTAAAGTTTAATAAATTAATAAAATAAAACAAATAAATTTGTTAAAATCTGTTAATTTGACAAATGAACAATTCCCAATTTTTTACTTCAGTATTGAGAAAGAACAACTTTGAGCATATTTTGGGTATCAGTATCTATAGCAGCACAACTGAACCTGTAGACTGAAAGGTTGGGATTTCAAACCTCTTCTCCCAGAAGCCTTCAGGGTCTGCATATCTTAGCTTCTTTTTCTGCTTTGATGTAGAGGCTTGGTAGTTCCTGCTGACACCACCTATCTTCTAGGAGGTTGCCTCCTGTGGCATCCTTCTCCTAAGCCTAGCTTGTGACAGAGATAGAGCTCCATAACCTATCTTGCTTTTCT